CAAAAAATATGAGTATATATGAAGTTACTTAACTCGTTAATTGAAACAAACACATGTTGGAGTGATTAGAAATTGAAAACGAAACAGTTGTGAAATTCAGAAATCAGCTCACAGTAATCTGCAGACGGAGAGTCTGATGCCATGGTAGACACATATCTATCAACACAGAGAGATGAGACGCCATCATCAAAGGCGGCTTCACTAGGGTTTGTTCCCATGTAAAATCTCTGGACAAATAACCAAACAGCGAAAATACCCGTGTTAAATCATAATACATACTATTATTTATAAACATCATTAGAGCCATAGTATTTTATTATGCAGCAGTATACGTACAATGGTTCAACAAATAAAATTATACTATAAATATGACGTATGAAAACAAACGTATGTAATAGCAAACTATAAACAAATTAGGTTTATCTTGTTAATCAAAAATTTCAAAACATACAGATTTTTTTTTATTTAACTAATAAAGTCTACATGTAGAATTTAATACTTATATGCATGAATCATATGAAACAAAGCACTATAATGAAACGACAAAGTCAAACTTATCTCCGCCCAAAAGAAACGTTGACGAACAAATTATGAACTTTGACGTTCTATTGCTCAACCAACCAAGGGTCTTTGGATGGAAAGACTAGACAAGTCGACATGTCGACTAAGAGAGAGACAGTCATAGTAAAATATCCGAGAACTTGAAATTTGAGACGGATCTAAAACATCATCGACCAAGAATTTTAAGGTTTTGCTCATCGGTTAGAATTTCATGCTGAAAACGTGTTATAAGTATAGAAAAGAAGAAGGGGAATTGGTGTGTATTATTTCATAAGTAATAGGTTCTTTATATAGGTTTACAATAACTTAGGTACAAAGTATAACTTTGAATTGAGAACAAGTAAATCTAGCATTTTTCATATTGGATATCACACAATATTCATAACAGATATTAATATTAGAGGTTAGTCTTTCTTTCTTTTCGGTATGATGTTACAATCTCCACACTAGAAAAAAAAATAGTTTAACATCACTTATTTTAAATATTTATAAATGATATAAAATAATTTTACATCACTTATTTAAATGACTCTCAAAGTGGTGATGCAAATAATTTGTATCATTTTAGTAATAACTGATGTAAAAATGTCAAATATTTGCATCAATTATTGTAAATGATATATCAATGTATATCAATTCCAAGAAATGATATTAACATTTATGTCAATTTAGTAAATGATGTTAGTTGCGTATAAATTAAAATAACCGATTTAAAATTTTAATTTTATTATTTATCAAAATATAAAGCAAAATCGTATGTATTTTAATAATTATTTAATTTACCGTCATTGATTTAAAATATTTGTATTTGTACATTTGATGTTAGATTTAAATCAGTAAAAACATCAAGCAAATATTTTGTATATTATTTCATTGACAATACAATCTGAAAAACAAAGAGAAAACAAGAAGAAAAAAGAAAAGGAATTCAGCATAAAATAAAAATGTAGAACAAACTAAAAATCTTCTTTATTTTTTCTTCAATCTCCAATGGTGACTTCAAGCTGAATCGATATAGTAGTCAATTAACGAGATTCATGAACTGTTTTTCCCAGAGGCTTCTATTCCTTTTTGCAGAATACTCTTCATTTGCCACTGAAAAGAAGGATATCTATTATAAATAAAGAATCCATAAACATAATTGAAGGAAGTAAAATATAATTCTCTACTATGAGAAGTAGAAAAAGAACAAAAGAAAAAATTTACCTTCCTAGAAAACTTTCAACAGACTCGCGTGACTACGAAATCCTAGTTTCCTTCCATACGCATGCTTAAGAAAAAATCGGATCATCATCATGATTCATACTAAAAATGTTTGATTCTTGTTGATTTTCTTATAAATTAAATAGTCTGGAACAATAAATTACAAACTGATAAATAAGTTGTAAAAACTGAGAGAAAGAGAAACGAATGAATGATGGGAGGAGATCATGACTGTATAATATGCCTTTGTTAGAGGAAACAGTTATAGAAGATCATGGGCCAAATAAATTAAAATCACAAAAGTAACTAAAAACAAATAGTAACTGCATACGTAAATGTAGGCTAGCTAGTTTTAGTAATTTAAATTAAAAATTTAAAGCAAATGTTTAAGTGAAGCAAACTATCATCATTATATATACTAGAGTGTTTCTCCGGGCTACGCCCGGATAATCTACTTAGTTTTTGTTAGACAATGAATTAAATAAAAACATTATTAATTACTATGAAATTAAAAATAAAGAATTAGTCCTATGTTTTTGAGAAAATTCTATTTTATCTCATTTCGGTATTGTTTATGTTTTTTTTAGAACAACTCATTTTTTTATATTTGACATTTTAGGATTATGCACATATATTAAAAAAATATTTAATTTACATACGTCTCTAAACACAAACATTATTAATTACTTATCTTATTATAATCCAACATATAATAAAAAATAAACTATTATATAATTAAAATTTTACATCAATTAGTATTACATTTTACATAGAAAATTGAAAACGTAAAACCAAATATTTCCTCTAAAACTTCAATTATTAAAAAATTGAGGGATTATTATTTATGTTTACCGTTATTATTTGAATATTTTCACAAAGTAAAGTATGAAGTTTCAATTAAAATAACCTGAGATTATTCTGGACTCTTCATGGACCTGAGATACCTCTAGGTTAATTAAAATAAAAGTTTCAATTAAAATACAAAATACTATTATATCCTTACTTTCTAGTTATATAAATATAAATAATTCTTTAAATAAACAAATAATAATTTTATAGTTTCCGAATTATACATTTTTAATTCGAAATATTTATAAAAGTTTAGATTTTTTTCCAAAATTTTCTGTTGTAATTCAAAAAATCTTTTGAAACTATTTTTAAATGTTATTTATTTAAAAAAAAACTCTAAACTATACACTTCAAAATCCCACTCCTAAAGTATAAACCCTTAGTCTTTATTAGTTAACTCTAAGGATATAGATGTCTATTTACTTCTTTAAACCTAAAGGTAAATGTGATTAAAATAAACATGAAAAGTGATATTAAAAGTGTGATAGTTTAAGCAATTTCTCATTTTTTGGATACTTAAGATACGATACTTTTCCACTAATCATTGTTTTAACAGTAATATATAATCTTTTGGGATTAGTTATCAACTATTTGAAAAATTGATTGTCAATAATACAAAGAAATAACAAAGGTCAAAGTAGGAATGAGTATTTTACCTGATATCCGAACCTATACCTGAATTGGACCCAAATAACCCAAACAAATATTGAAATTGAAATAATAAAATACCAGAGCGGATACTGAATTAGGAGAGATTGAATATTCAAACCTGAATGGATATCCAAAGATTACCAAACATATATATACTTGACATATTATTTCTAATTATTTCTCACATTTTTGTTTAAAATATTTATATCAATGCTACACATAGTTTATATCAGATAACATACATATAATTACATACAAAATGATTTATTACTCACTTTAAATGATGTCAAGATTTTTCTTTCATGCATTGACAAAAATTGCATCTAAAATTTCAAAATAATAATCAAAGAATTTAGAATTTCTTCAAAATCCAAATTTCCATACCCAACCAAAATAACCGAATCCAAATTAAAATTTTCCGAACCCGACCCGAAATATAGAAATACTCGAACGGGTTCAATACCCCTATACCGGAATATTCAAAAATCCAAAATTTCTGATCTGAACCAAAACGTTTTCCCTATCTAAAAGTGTTTATAAAACTATTTGCTAAAAGTCTTAGTTTTAAGAGTCTATATATGTTTTACAAAGGTTTATAAAATAAATTATTAGAATTTTTATAATTTTAGAAACCAATTTAAAATGTATGTTGAACCTGTTTACAGTTATACAAATGTACATTTTTAATAAATTATAGATGATATAACATACACATTTTAATAATAGTCTTTTTATATTGACGTTATGATGATGGAACTATTGCTAGCTTGTAGTAAGGGAGACTTTAAAGTAACCATAGAGAACTTTGTGAAATGATTTAAACACACAGAGAAATAATAGTCTTTTGATATAGCATGCATTCATTACATAATACGAAGTTGTAACATTAAGAAATACCGAATAAGTCATCTGCTTGCAAATATGTTATATGTAATGTAAAGCCATACTTAAATATATACAAAAAAAACTTAGCAAAAGCTCAAAATTAAAAATGAAAAGATAAGTTACACTCCTACGCATGAGTGCATTCTACAAATCGTGGTTAATGTTTTTTAAAAAAATATAGTGATTAATGCTCTTTTCGTAACAGATAGTGGTTAATCCTTCAATCTTCTGATAGTTCTACCATTTGGGGAAGTGTTTCTGAAACATGCAAATTATGCATCTCGTACCTGAAAGAAATGGACACTTATCTGATCAAATTCAGCAGTTCTATGTTAATATACCTGTCACTATGTGTTCGAACTGTGATAACTGATATGCTAGAAAGCTCCTTTGAGAACACTAACACACGAAATATTCCCATCTCATGTAAGTAAAACAAGCACAAAACATTTTTTGTAGAAGAGAAAAAGCTTACCAAAGTTCTTGTGACTTGCGCTGCACAAAGACTCTGAAGTACCCATCCTCAGGCTTACCATCATGAACAGTGTTAGCGATTATACTTGGAAGAAACCTTCACGCCTTCTGCAGCAGTAGGCAGTGATGGTATGTAATCTCTTAGCTCCATGTCCTTCACCGGAAAGTTGGCTGTGACATCGACAAAAATTGGGTCACATTAACCTGTGAACAGAGAACTTTAAAAATCATTAAAGTCACCAAAAAAAAAAAATAGTCACTCAAGGTAGGATTCTTCTCCTAGAAGAAGTTATTCTTCTTGAACCAAACCATATGGAACATCAAGTAAGGAGGAGATTTGGTTACTCAATCCTTATGGCTAGCTTAGGGAGAGCCACTTATGTCACAGTTTCTCCATCAAACTTCTTAAGTATATCAAATAGAGCAACCTGATCCAAACATCAAAGAAATTTAGCTTTTTCTTACCTCACTTTACTAACTAAAAACCCAAAAGGACTCAAGAGAACTCTCCTAACTCATAAAGTGGATTCCAAAAAGACGGTCTACCCTATACTAAACATCACTCAGTATTGGCGTGTCTCAACAAAAATGTAATAATCTTGTAAGTTTTCTAATAACACCACACATGTTATTTATCATGAACATTTCTGGAATGCTTATTGTAAAAGGAACAGCAGCAGAAAATTTGAATAGCTAAACTTAAAAGTCTAAAGCAAGAGATGTATGTACACCGGCAGAATAATGTTTTTCTCCATGACATCTTTGAATAGAGGAGGTGGTGGCAAATCTAGCCCAAGCATCAGAAAAGTCATTTTTGGAGATTTATTTGTTTTCATTGCCTTGAAACACTCTCTCAGAACCTCCAACTCCCCCTGTCATGATTAGCAGATGTCATGAAAATTGCATCATTTGCAAGAAATTATATCAAACTACATTATGTTGACATGTGGAAGGACAGACACATACCTGGAAGCACTGATGGATGATACTGTTGGCGTCCTTTGAAGTTCTAAGATCCATGTTCAAAGTGTTGGTTCTTAATCTGTATTTTCCTAATATCGCTTTGTTAAGAACTAAATGTATTTGGCTTGGAAAGTACCTTCGACTTAAACCTTCTTGCACAATCTTTCAGCTGAGACAGATTCTGAACGTAATCGTCTTGGTAAAGATAGAAAAAAGAAATAAAAGCATTGTAGTGAGATCTACTTTTAGTAGAGGTAGTCGTTCAATTTTTTAAAAAGAAAGAATGATGTGATATAACAATGAAGAATTCCTATGTTACAAAAAAAAAAAAAAAACAATGAAGAATTCCTTACAAAGTAACAGTCCTGCCGTACTCCAGATTATTGCATAAACTCTCCAAGAGGATGGTCAGACTGTATACACCAAAAGCGAGCACACGCTTCGACATCACATGGAGAACAACAAAACCGCTATTATAATAAACGCCGCTGGTAAGCTCATAAACCTGAAATTCAGTAAAGACGATGAATATTAATGGCTAGAGGTTAAAAATCAATTTATTGCATAAATTTGGATCGTACTTCTTACCAGCCTCTTTGAGGTAGCATCCTTTGAATCACCATCAGATTTCACCAGTGGAGCCCTCACCTATAAAACAAAACTAAAGAAAGAAGGAATAAAATGTTAGAGCTTGATTGAAGATGGTATTGTACAGAAAAGACTAACATTGAACAAAACTTGACAGAAAGCAAGAAGCATGCAAGTAAGTCAGCGATCTTGTAAGATCTTGCTAACAAATCTGGCATACTTTGCACACATGGTCACTTAAGGTGTAGGAAGAAGGCACGGCTGCACGCAAATAACAAACATTAGCAAGAAGTTAATCCAAGAATAAAAAAAAAGTCAAAAGTGGAAAAAGAATAACCGAGAGAACAAAAAGTGACAAAAAGACAATAGTGCTTAACTTAAATTTATAGATTTCTCAGCACCAGTAAGGAGAGATGTATTGCTGGTTTATGAATCCATTCGCAAGAACTCATCTTTAGATATCAAGTCAATCAGTGAAAAAAAAATCACATCGAGCATAACATTGACATTAATCAAATCCCATGATTTACAACCAAAATAGAAACATACCAATGACATTACGGCTCTGCTGAGAAGGTTAAGTCAGAGACTGGTAGAACCTGAGTATCCGAGCCTTTCCTTTCACCGAGCTCGGCCTATAGGAAGGGCCATCTGCATAAGAAAATTTCACAAAAGAGAAAGACGAAAACTCTATTAGATATACAAAACACTGAAGGCCCATATCCAAAGAATAGTATTAGACGCGAACGTGAGAATCGATCAGAGACGTAACCTTGTCGGGAACCTAGGGGAGATTTGTCGGTTGAGACAGGGGAGCATCATTAACCCTAGAACCACATTAGTGTCTCTTAATGACTTTTTAAATATTAAATGTTAGTTAAGAACTTAGTTAAGAGACACCAACAATTGGTGCTCCAATGCAAGTCTCTTAGATAAAGATTCTTAAAAACAATGTTGATTTTATTTTCATAGGAAGTTGAAGCAAAGCTTAAGTTAAATATATGCATTCTGTGTACAAAAGGATCAAATCTTGTTTTGTGTGTGTTACTTTGTGTTCATGGGATAAAATCAAAATTTGAGGCTTGAAATGGATAACGTTTCTATATGTATCTAATGAGCTACACAGAGTAGATAAATGATATTAAGGAGTTCAAGCACATCATCACAAATACAGGGCACATTGTGGGGCATGGAAGATCATAGTAATTAGGAAAGTCAACCAAGTAAAGTACATCTTATCAAGAATCATAAACCGAGACTAACCTGTGTTCATCTGTCTGATCCTGCCACAGCATCAAACAAACCGCAGCAACTTAACCACGAAGTTCGGACAGCTTGTGGACCAGGCAACGAAAGACGAAAGACGCTGCAAACGTCACAGGACAACAACTACAGCAATATCAGCAATTCAGCATTGTTCAATAGCAACAGCTTTTAGAATCCTTGCATCAATCTGCAAATAGCATTGTTCAATGTGGTTTTAAGAAGATTAAAACTCATTTAAGTTGGTTCAAAACATAGAGATACAGAAAGATCAATCATTCAAAGTTTCTTACTTTAACTTGTTCAAATCTTTTGTTTCGAGAAAAAAATACAATCATGATCACGAGCCAAAGTTTAAATGAGGTTAAAAGATGAGAGCTTTTTTACCTGTGGGAATAACTCGGTAGAGATCGAAAGATAATTTTGAAACCCATCAGTGAATTATGAGATCAATCTGCAATAAAATAAAGGTTACTGTTTTCAGAACTGTAAAACCTAAATTCAAAATGAGAAAGAGATCAAAAGCAAGCAACGAATCGGTATATACTCAGAGATTTCTGGATGACAGAGAACAATACTATGAGCTGATGATCACAAGAGATGAATGAATCTTCATGGAGACTTAAAAAAAATAACAGTAATCCAATAAAAAGGAAGAAGAGGAAATGGACCTTCCCACACACGCGAAGAAGAACAACTGATTTTCTCTCTCGACGGTGATTTTGGCTGGATTTTGGTTGGATTTGGTCGGAGAAGAACGGATTCCAAAAACAAAGGGAGAGAGAGACGAAGAACCAGGTGAAGAGGCGCCTCTTCTGGAAGAGGGGAAGACACTCGCAAAGAACCCACTTTTTTGCTGCGTTAACTCAGTAACAAAGCGAATGACATGGCAATTTAGAGACATTTGATTGGAGGAATATTTCTGTCGACGTGGACATGCTCATTTGGCTTGTTTTGTCCCTTTTATTCATAGTAGATAGATTGATCTCAAATTTAGTATCAGTTATTTAAGTGACATTAACTTTGTATCATGTATCTAAGTAATATTAATGAAAACACGGTAGTAGTAGTAAAGGAGTTTGTAGTCAGAATAATGGCGACCGAGGCGACTAGGGTTTTGGCGACCGAGGCGACTAGGGTTTCGAGTACGGAGGATCAAGAGGCTACTATGATGGATATCGGGGAGAAAGAGAGACCACCAGGAGATCCGCCTGATAAGGGGCGGTCATGGGTAGCGAAGGTGGTGGAGACGACAGAGGGAGGGATGCCAGTCCCGGAGGTGTTGATTGCAGATTCTTTTGTGTCAGATAGGGTTCGAGTAGAGTTTCCGAATGGGGAGGACGGAGAACCATCGATTACTATCGAAAACGAGGTGCTGGAAGCGATGAATGGAATGTGGAAGAAGTGCATGATTGTTAAGGTTCTGGGAAGAAACGTACCAATAGTTACCTTGACGAGGAAGTTACGTGAGTTATGGAATCCAAAGGGTGCTATGTATGTGTTGGATTTACCTAGACAGTTTTTTATGGTCCGATTTGAAAAAGAAGACGAGTATCTAGGGGCCCTGACAGGAGGACCATGGAGAGCTTTTGGTAGCTATCTCATGGTAAGAGCTTGGTCGCCAGAGTTTGACCCATTGCGAGATGACATCGTTACAACACCAGTGTGGATCAGGCTGACGAACATACCAGTGAACTTTTATCATCGATCGATCCTCATGGGTATTGCCAAAGGGCTAGGGAAGCCAATTAGGGTTGACCCGACGACTTTGAATTTTGAAAGAGCTCGGTTTGCAAGAGTGTGCGTGGAAGTGAATCTTGCAAAACCTTTGAAAGGGACGGTTCTAATCAATGGTGAGAGGTACTTTGTAGCGTATGAGGGGCTGCTGGAGATCTGTTCCAAGTGTGGTATCTATGGACACTTGGTTCATGGCTGTCCACGAACACTGGCGGAACGCGTAGCGAGTCAAAATATGCAAACAGAGTCGATACGAACTGCTGATAGAACAGGCGTTCAGAGCCCACAAGTGCAGGAGGAAGGTTTCATTCCGGCAAAGGGTTCACGAAGGAGGACTACTGTTGCACCTAAGCAGGTGATGGGGTCCGTTCCGAACTTAAATGGAGAGACAAACATGAATCACCGAGAGATCCTGCATAACAAGACAATGGATACAGTTGTGTTATCAAACAAATACGGGGGACTGGACATGGGTACGGATCTGGAGGAAGGAAGAGAGGAGGAAGTTAAGGGACAAGAGGAGAAAGAGAACTTAAATATTAATGTCCAACAAAGCAAGAAGAACGGAAACTTGCAGGAGAAGGTAGCCATGAATTTTCGCGCAAAAAATCTCAGCCTTGGTGTATTGTCTGAAGCGCAAACAGAGATGAAGGTGAGAAGTTCTGGCAACAAAAAAACAACAGAGGGGACTAGGGGAAGATCTAAGAGAGTAAATAACAGACCAGTTCGAGGGCTGGTGTTTGGTCCAACTAAGGGAGAGGTGAGCTTATCGGAGTCTGGAAAGCGATTAAGAGTGGAACGAAGTGAGGCTGGGAGAGATGGGGGAGTTCCCCGAGATCGAATAGTGGATGGGAAAGCCCTGGCTGCGGGTCTTAATCTACGCGATGAAGAGATAGATAACCCGATGGAGAATATGGTCAGCGAGATAGAACAAGGCAGAGCTGACATACAGATAATTCCTCAGGAGGAGGGAAGGATTTTATCCCTTGCATAACGGGACGCCCCGGTGATTCGTGTTGAGATCATATTTTTAAGAATGATGAATTGCTTATTTTGGAATTGCCGGGGGGCGAATAAACCCAATTTCAGAAGATCGATTAGGTATATTTTGAAGAAGTTCAATACCGATATTCTTGCTTTGTTCGAAACTCATGCTGGGGGAGAGAAGGCAATGAAGATTTGTCAGAGTCTTGGTTTCGACAACTCTTTTCGTGTGGATGCGGTAGGGCAAAGTGGAGGAATATGGCTACTCTGGAGGGAGCAGGCATGTGCGCTTACGGTGATGGGGTCATCTGATCAGTATATTCACGCGAAGGTGGTGCACGGAACAGAACAAATTCATATCATATCTGTTTACGCAGCACCTACGGTCAGTCGTAGGAGCGGTCTTTGGGGTCAGTTGAAGACAGTGATGGAGAGTATTGATGGTCCGCTATTGCTGGGTGGCGATTTTAACACTATAGTGCGAATTGATGAGAGAATAGGAGGTAATGGGAGACTTTCTCCAGATTCACTGGCATTTGGAGAATGGATCAATGACTCAGCCTTGGTTGATATGGGATTCAAAGGGAATACCTTTACTTGGAGAAGAGGGAAAGACACGCGGAATTTTGTGGCGAAGCGTTTGGATAGGATACTTTGTAATGCTGAGACACGGGTACGATGGCAGGAGGCGGAGGTTTCTCACCTTCCGTTCTTAGCATCTGATCATGCACCGATCTATTTACAACTGGAACCGGTCAGGAAAGGGAACCCAAGGAGGAGACCATTTAGATTTGAAGCTGCATGGCTTAAACATGAAGGATTCAAGGAATTGTTATTAACTTCTTGGAATGGGGAAATGAGTACACCCGAGGCGCTGGAAGCCTTGCAAAGGAAATTACAGAAATGGAATAAGGAAATTTTTGGAGATGTGAGCAAAAGAAAGGAGAAGCTACTTGGAGAAATAAGACAAATTCAGGAGGAGCTGGAGAGAAACCCGAATGATGATCTCATAGGAAGGGAGGCGATGCTGCAGAAAGAGTTTGATGTGGTCCTGGAGCAGGAGGAGGTGATTTGGTATCAGAAATCGAGAGAGAAATGGATAGTTCTCGGAGATAGAAACACAAAGTTCTACCATACAACTACAATTGTAAGGCGGAAGAGAAATAGAATTGAGAGTTTGAAAGATGAGAATGGTCGTTGGTTAAAAAACTCGGAAGAATTGGAGAAACTCGCGATTGATTACTACAAGCGGTTATATTCGACGCAAGATGTATCCATGGACACTGCCGAGCTTCCGCAGCAGGGTTTTACTGAGTTCCGGAGTGATGAGTTGGTGCTTTTGAATGCACCTTTTACGGCAACTGATATGGAAGCTTCGGTTAGATCAATGGGGAAGTATAAAGCTCCAGGGCCAGATGGGTTTCAACCTATTTTTTACCAAGACTCATGGGATATAGTAGGAGATTCTGTGGCTCGTTTTGGACTGGAGTTCTTCGAGACCGGTAAACTCCCAGCTGGGATGAATGATGCGATGGTGGTTCTCATACCGAAGGTCCTTAAACCTGAAAAAATAATGCAGTTCCGGCCGATCAGCTTGTGTAACGTTCTGTTCAAGATAATTACGAAGGCAATGGTGTTGAGACTGAAGAAGCTGATGCCAAAGTTAATAGGACCAGCGCAAGCTAGTTTTATTCCGGGGAGACTGAGTACAGACAATATTGTGGTGGTTCAAGAAGCGGTTCACTCGATGAAAAGAAAACAGGGTCGGAGAGGATGGATGCTTCTTAAACTCGATCTTGAGAAAGCTTACGATCGAATTCGATGGGATTTTCTGCAAGATACTCTATACGCAGCAAAGCTACCACAAGTTTGGATCAACTGGATTATGGAGTGCGTCATTAATCCCGGGATGAGTTTACTATGGAATGGGGAGAGGACTGAAGCTTTTACACCACAACGGGGACTGCGGCAAGGTGATCCTTTATCTCCGTACCTATTTGTGCTATGTATGGAGAGATTGTGTCACCAAATTGAATTCTCAGTTGCAAAAAAAGAATGGAAACCGATCAAGCTCTCTCGAGGGGGGCCATCTCTATCGCATATTTGCTTTGCGGACGACTTGATTCTGTTCGCTGAAGCTTCTATATCACAGATCAGAGTCATACGCGGGGTGTTGGAAAATTTTTGTGGAGCCTCGGGACAAAAAGTGAGCTTGGAGAAATCACGTGTTTTCTTTTCTGAGAATGTTCATCGGGACCTTGCGGTCGCAATTAGTCATGAGAGTGGGATTAGAGGTACCAAAGATCTGGGGAAGTACCTTGGGATGCCGGTTTTGCAGAAAAGGATCAATAAAGAGACTTTTGGGGAAGTGATTGAGAAAGTTTCGTCGAAGCTGGCTGGATGGAAGAGGAGATTTTTGAGTTTAGCAGGAAGGACAACACTAACTAAGTCGGTTTTATCGTCTGTTCCAGTTCACACTATGAGTACGATAATCTTACCGTCTTCGACACTGAACCAGTTGGATAAGATTGCGAGGTCATTCATCTGGGGGAGCATTGACGGGACTCGGAAACAACATCTGGTGGCTTGGGAGAAGATATGCAAACCGAAGAGAGAAGGTGGGCTTGGTATACGATCAGCTAAGGAGATGAATGTATCCTTATTAGCTAAACTTGGATGGAGAATGTTGAATACCGAAGATGGCTTATGGGTTAATGTCATGCGCAAAAAATTTAAAACGGGTGAGCTGTATGATGATTCATGGTTGGTAACTAAGGGAAGATGGTCACCAACGTGGAGGAGCCTGATAATGGGGATTCGTGAAGTTGTAGTTCCAGGAGCACGGTGGATACTAGGCGATGGTCGTCGAGTTCGTTTCTGGAAGGACAAGTGGTTGCTAAATGAACTTCTCTGTGACCTGAGTTTAGTTGATATTCCAGATCAGATAGCGGGTGCTAGTACTCGAGACTTATGGCAGACAGGGGTTGGATGGAGACTCGACGATATTGAGCCGTATATATCAGTGGAAGATCGGCTGAGGTTATCTTCGTTGGTGATTGATGAGGTGACGGGAGCTCGGGATAGAATTTCATGGGGAGAAACTAAAGATGGAAGGTTCTCGGTCAGCTCTGCATATGCCTTCCTCACCAAGAATGTAGTTCCCAGACCTAATATGGGAGATTTCTACAGTCAAATATGGAGTGTGGTGGCACCAGAAAGGGTCAGGGTGTTCTTATGGCTGGTAGCTCACCAAGTCATTATGACGAACATGGAGCGGAAACGACGACATCTCAGTGACAATGGAATATGCCAACTATGCAGAAACGGTGAGGAAACTATTCTCCATGTACTCCGTGACTGTCCAGCGGCGGAAGGGCTATGGAAGAGATTAGTGACTCCTAATAGACAACAGAGGTTTTTTAATCAGTCTTTATTGGAATGGTTATATGATAACCTTACAACACATAGGTCTGCGAACGGGGTTCAATGGCCATCACTCTTTGCGTTGACAGTTTGGTGGTGCTGGAAATGGAGGTGCGGCTACGTCTTCGGAGATATGGGCAAGTGTCGAGACAGGGTAAGGTTTCTTAAAGAGAAAACGCAAGAAGTGATACAAGCGAACAAGAGACTTGGAGAGAAAGCTGCTAAGGGTGTAAGGGTTGAGAAACAGATCAAGTGGGATAGGCCGACAAACGGATGGGTCAAGTTGAACACAGATGGAGCGTCTAAAGGCAACACTGATAGAGCAACGGCGGGTGGAGTTCTACGGGATGAGAATGGGAGTTGGAAAGGGGGATTTGCGATGAATATTGGGATTTGTTCGTGTCAATTGGCAGAGTTGTGGGGAGTATACTATGGCTTGTGCATAGCATGGAACAATGGTTTACGGAAGCTGGAGGTGGAGGTGGATTCGGAATGTGTGGTGAGCTTTTTTAAGACAGGGATTCATGATTCTCATCCCCTGTCCTTCCTAGTACGGTTGTGCTATGGCTTAATCTCGAGAGACTGGATAGTCAAAATTTCTCATGTGTATAGGGAAGCTAATCGTCTAGCAGATGGATTAGCTAACTATGCGTTTTCTTTAGAGTTTGGTTTGCATTATTTTGAGAACATTCCTGAGCATGTTGCTCCTTTACTTTTGGAGGATTTGAACGGGGTTGCAAGATCTCGACAAGTCTGCTTGTATTAGTTTTTTCGTTTGAGTTCATTAATAAAATGGGGGTCTTCCCCTGCCTCTTACCAAAAAAAAGTAATATTAATGAAAACTAGAAAATGTATTAATTATATAACTGATGTGAATTCATATTTATATCAGTTTTTTTCTATAAGTGATGTAAGTTAATATAGATTTATATCATTGTTATAATTGAAATGAAAAATACAGAATTTGTATCATTTAGTAATAAGTAATTCAAATTAAAATCATTTATTTTTCTGATACTAATTATGTGATATAATATGATCATTTTTTTTGTAGTGCCAGCTTGGATTTTATAGCCATGATCCATGATAAAATAATCAATTAAACTGTGTTGAAGTTCTAATCAAGTGATTGTTATAGAAACAATGTTCACAAAAACCCGTCATGGAGATGCAGCAGAAGGTCTATAAACTGAAGGAAGAAGTTTAATGTCGTCCAAAAATGAACTTTCCATATTTTGAAATACAATATATTTAACATAAACTACTGAAATCATGGATGACATTATGGTGAAGTTGGCAACACAAAGGCAAAGATTTAGTTTTTTTTTGTTGTAATCATACCATTGTTAAAATTGGTTTGTTCAATCTTTATTTATCTATATTGTTAAAATTAAAGTAAAAAATAGAACTAACCTTATTTTCAAAGGAAATTTTATTTTTGCCTTTATTTGATACCATTATTTATGTTTATATTTTTAAATAGAAATTTTCAAAAATACCTAAATATGAGGTTCCATTAAGAAAACAAAAGATATTTATGCCATTGATTCATAAATGTAAATAATTATTTAAATAAATAAATTTTAAATTTAAAAAAAATAAAAATAATGTTTTTAAGTTTTTGAATTTTAGTTTTTCAAATTCAAACTTTTATCACTTTTTCGATTTTTATTCAAATTTTCATTTTGAAATTTGAAAATTCTTTTTGAAACTATTTTGTTATTTTAGCTTTAAATATTTATTTATATTTTTGTAAAAATACTAAACCATACCTCCAAAACACCACCCTTCAAATCTAAACCTAGATAAATATGGTTAAGTAAATATTTACCTCTTCAAAATTAAAGATAAATATGGTTAAGTAAATATGAAAAAAAGGTACAAGTGATATTTTTGACAATTTCTCTATTTTCAAAAGTTTTATTACATTTTTCATTCATTAATTTCATTCATCTTAAAAACTTAATTAATTGTTTATTTAACCATTTTCTATTTTAAATGTTTATTAAATCTTTTACATTCATTTTTCACTTGTTGAAACTACTTCAGTATTTGTATTTAACATAATAAATGTACGTTATTTATTTTACGTATTAACCATAACAAGTTCACATGTTTGAATGAAATTTTTTCATTACTACAAGAATTCAATCTGGTTAATACATAATTATTTTTTTACATAATCAGTTAAACATGGGCACACGTACACGTTCTGATACAAATCAGTTTTTTAGGTATCGGATTATTGGATTTTAAAATTAACTTTATTTGGATATTATAAATTTTCAGACATGATTCGAGTCGGATTCTTCCAGGTCCGGATATGTTCGTAAAAACCAAAAAATATATTAAAATAACATGTATATATGTTTAAAATGTTATTAAATAATTTATAAAAGGATAAAAATCAATTCTGCACGAACGCATATCAAAACTATAGTCACGATTAAATCAATGAATGAAATTTTAAACCAAAGATATATATCTTTATATCTAAATTAGACTAAGACCAATATAATACAACAACAAAATCAATGTTTCTAATACAACAAAGATTTAAAGATTACAAACAAATAAAAGGGTTGAAACACAGGTTGACAAAAACCTTTTAAAAGAGAATCATCTTCTCACACTATTTCTTGGGATCTATTTGTTTTCTAGTATATTTTTTCTGACATCAAAAGGCTATTTTATTACTCAAACTTGAGGCGGTCTGGGAATCCTGACCGGACAAAAACAACCAACAAAAGACAGCTTGCAATAGAAATTACAAGCAATCTTAGCTAAATCATCTATTGTTCGGTTTTGTGATCTTGGTATGTAGATCTTGAAGTCTGAAAATCTTTCTATCAATGACGCAAACTTTCCTAACTCTGGAGAAGCTCGCTCAATCTTTCGAGTTCTGCATCATCGCCATTACATTCGTCAATCTGTTTCAAAGTGTTGGCAGTAAATGTTCTAAATCATGCTCTCCATTGCCCATATCAAAGCCTCTAATTCTGCATGCAAAAAAGACATATGGTTTTCTTCGTTATAATCCAAAAAGTTGTTCTCTTCGTGACCCATCTTTCCAAACTCAACCATATCCACCGCGGTATGCTCCAGATATCCATGATCCATCCACTAGACAAATATTTTGCAAGCTTAGGACTTGCGTATTTGTGTGAACTTCTTGATCCACCTTTGTGGCTTTTGTGTTTGCTTCAACCAAAGCGTTGCATTCACTTTATGTATGTCTAACCAACTCAAGTGGATCTCTTTAGATACCTCAGAAGAGTCTGTTATTTTGCGCTTTCCATAGGTACCAAATAATCCATGGGTAAGGATCCTTATCTAGGATAGAATCTTCAATCTCATTCCTCATCCAAAATAGATAGTCCAATTTTGCAAAAATATACTCGTTGTAGGAATATTCTCGAATATGATGGTGTCGAGGCAAAGGTCCAAGTTTGTAAAGCTAGTGAGCATTCAAAAATAGCGTGATTAACTGATTCCTCAGACTCTCCATATCTAGGACAATAGTTGTCGCAACACATATGGCATCGTGTTAGGTTTTCTATAATTGCTATATATCGAGACACAAGCTGCCATATAAGATTGGTGGATCTTCAGTGGAGGCATGAATATTCCATGCAAAGCCTTTAATTTAGTTGTGCTTGACTCTTCTATTCTAATCATTTTACTTATGTTATTTGGTATATTTTAGTCTTGTGTATGTGTTTTTAAATTTTCTTACAATTGTTGACAAAAACAATTTAGGTCATTTTAGTAAGTATATTTAAGGCCCATACAAGTAGTCACAATATTTTTTGGGCCCAATATTTGTGTGATATTTGAGCCCATTTAACTCGTTGTAGGCATCTCTCTCCATATGCTGCTTCCACCTCTTCTTCATTCATTTCAGTAAGCGGTTTTCATCTGCAGCCAGAGACGCATTTTTAACGATCTACCATCGACGAGGTTCTCTTCCCTTCCCTTCCGATCATCTTCTCTGTCTACGCTTCCTTTATTCTTGTTATCGATTCGTTTAGAAATCCCTCTCAACGCGTGATTTTTTTTTTTTAAATATCCGTCTCAGTAACCATCATCTAAAGGCCGTATGGTTTTGTAGAGATATATGCTTTTGTTTCTGTGGTTATAGATCAGGATTAAGTTTTGATTCTCTGCATCATTTCGCTTTATCAGTGTTTTTTGATTTTTCAGATAGGGGTCCATTCAGATTAAGTGTCATCTCTAATCGATTGTTTTTTTGTAGCTCATTGTGCGTAACTTGAAACTTTTTAAAATCTAGGTTAGATCTGAAGAGGAACTGTATATATGTTTATTGGTTGCTTTGTATGAGTGATAATGACGAAAAGAATGTTTTTTTGTTTGTTTGTGGAAGATGTTTTACCTTTATAGTGTTTTCGTTTACACAGGAGACAATGGCAACCAGAAGCGCTTTCAGATCTGTGTGTCGCAGGTTCTCTAGTGGAAAGGTTCTTAGCGAAGAGGAGAAAGCTGCTGAGAATGTTTTCATCAAGGTATTGTTTACTCTCCGCAGTCTGCGTATCTATTTTCCTTTTGTTGATGATGATGAAAACGTTGTCTCTTGATTTTATCTGTGTTGTGAACTAATAAAACTAAATCGGTAGAGCGAAATATTTATCTACTTTCCTTTTCTTATGACTATGAAATCTTTTTATCCATCTCTTCTTGATTATACATGGGTCTGTTGTGAATTATATTGACTAAAAGTCTCCTTGTATGATGAAAAGTATAAAACTAGAAGTCTTACATATGTGTATAATTTTTCTCTCTACATGTTTCACTTGTCAGTTTACTCTCCCAAGTGACTTAGTTTCGTCAAAAGTTATAAAGGCAGCTACTTTCCTTTTGTTGATGCTCTCTATCGTATACTATTAAAATGGGATGAATTTTCCGCTACTTTCCTTTTATCGATCCATTCTTGAATCTCTCTGCTAGTTAATATTTGGTTTTGGTTTTAACTTTTTTTCAAGGAACGCAAAGAGTTAGATCCATTTGTTATTTAAACCTTATCGAGCTTCCAGCTTGCACTATAAACTCGTTTGATTCTCTCCTTTATGTTTAAGAGTCATATGCTGTTCCGCTTTAACTTGATTTCGTATGATTTATGGTTTTCCTAGATAGTTTTAGGGGAAGTTAATCTCCTAAACTTTCTACATTGGTATTGCAGAAAATGGAGCAAGAGAAGCTTGAGAAGATAGCTAGACAGGTAATGATTCCTTTAAACTTCAGTAGTGAAGCTTATCTATCAAATAAAAACGAGAAAATTTACAGTCAACACTCTGATAAACTAATAGGGTCCTGGAGAACAAGCAGCAAGTGGAGCCAAGGCTAGTGGTGGTGGTGGATCATCATCAGCATCGGCTGAATCAGGCCCAAAAGTGTCAGAAGACAAGGACAGAAACTACGCTGTTGTGGCAGGTGTGGTCGCTGTTGTTGGTGCAATTGGTTGGTACATGAAATCAGGTGGAAAGAAGCAGCAGCCAGAGGTTCAAGAGTGAAGAAGATTGATGGGAGTAGCGAGTGAATAAAACAGAGAGTGGCTTTTACTCATTCCTCTCTTATGAGAAACTTTGGAATTTGCTACTTGGCTCTTTTCTTTTGGTTTTGGTTTCCAAATCTTTGACTTTTTTCGGTTTGTTGACATTTAGTTTTGGAAATCTTTAACTACATCTGCTCCACTGATCAGAATAAGTGAAAATTCACAGACTGAATAACCCAAGATAGATGCCGAGTTGAATTTAACTAAATCTTTGCTCAAGTTTCACTGATTATGTCAAAAGACTGAAATCAGATCAGATCAATGGAGCAAAATAGTGAATCGAAACCCTAAAATAAAAAAGAACTTTCTCACAATTCGGTAACGTCTTCTTTTTGTTACAGAATCGTATTTAGTGCGTAACATGTAAGTGGTGATTTTTATTATTTTATCATAAGCAAAAGGTGGCTGAAGAACTTGACATAAATGAGGAGTTGGATTCAAAGGTTTGCCGAGGTTAATGTGAAGATTGATATAGGAAAACAAGAAGTAAAAATTATTGTGGAACTAATGAGATGGAACGAAAGCGCCAAGATCATACTTCTTCGTCATTAACTGGTAATTGTGTTTTTGTAAAATCAACTTTTAGCGAGAACACTTAATATGTAAACGCCGATCTAAAAAAGGTAAAACCAAAAAACTGAAAAACAGATGCGCGGATTATGGTATTAATCAAAAGTATCTTGAGAATTGCAGGAATGTCAAAAAGATAACCCGAGTACAAACTAAGAAACAATACCATAAAGGTTTAACAGAAAATGAAAACGATGACAAAATCAGAAGCCAACAAGCATTACTGCCTTCTTACTCGAACAGACTGAAACCCATGTCCTGTAAAATCAAGCACACAAAAGAAAAACAAAGTGAGTGAGCCATCATAACATCACCTGTTAAATTTTTGCATAAAAGAAAGTCGAGACTTACATCGTCGGATTCTTCCTTCTCTTCTTTCTTCTCTTCCTTCTTGGCCTCAGCTGCAGGAGCAGCACCGCCTCCACCACCAGCAGATGGAGCAGAAGCCATGGCAACACCACCACCGCTTGGAACAGACGCCAACTTCTCCCTTCCGGAGGCAATCACGTCACACAAGTCTTTGCCACTGAGTTCCTTCAACAAAAGCTCAATCTGAGAGTCATCGGTTTCACAACCAACTGCCAAAAACAAATAATAAAAACAATTGTCACAATCCATTACTTAATCTTCTTCACAAGACAGAACCATTTCAACACCATATATACTGCTCATTTGAAAACATTACCTACTCATTACAAAACTTAACATTTCTAGCAAAAAAACACCCTAACAATGTGGAAAAACAGTTATATAACACAAGAAGACATTGATTTGAATCTAGCAAACGACTAATATAAAATTTGCCTAAGCAAGGAAAAGGAACGAACCAGATCCTAGGATGGCCTTGATATCGGCACTGGTGGGGGAAGCTTTTCCGCTCAAAGCGGCGAGCAAGTACGCTGCGACAACCTTCATTTTCTGATATAAAAACACAAAGAGTTATGTAAGAAAAACTTTCAACAAATTTGGAAATGAGTAAATAAGGAGACGTTGAGATGGATAGGAAGAGCTTACAGCAGATGTTGATGGAGATCTCGAAGGAGATTGTAAGCTTAGAGTTTTTGAAGACGGCGACGAACAAGTGAAGGGGGAGGTATATGATTTATATAGACTTAGGGTTTTATGGTGTGTTTGCTTTCCCTATCAAATGTCTCCGGTATACTTTCCTTCGGCCCAGTAATTTTGCAAGCCCAAATTAAATATATATGGGCTCGAGATCAGCTCAGTCATACGCGAACTGATTAAAATGTGGTTTAATTAGATTTGATTATTTCTTAATATTGATTAAAAAAGGATTATTTCTTAACTACAACATAGCTTCTACAAATAATACAGTACATTGGTGAAGCAACAACTAAGACCATCCGCAACGCAGATACGTGAAGAGTACTTAGCGCGCCATCCTAGGTAAATCGGAGTATTATATTAGTTTCTTTTTTCTTTAGCTAAGAAAGAATCCTTAGAGAAGGTGTTTAAGGATTTAATCCTTACGTGCGTGGAAACAGGTGATAGGTGAGACTTGTGGATGGGTTTTGCGTGTCTTCAAAAAAAGTCAGTTTATTTCTCCATCAGGAAAAAAATAGAGCTCTAGCGATATCAAGGCAATTCCATGGCGTTTGCTCCAGTTCTCCGCCGCTTCCGCCACTAAGAACCTCTTTTCTCTATCGAGACTCTCCCTTGGCTCTTCTCCCTCCGTTAGATCTCTGCAAATAGGAGCCTCCGGCGGCGATGCTCGTCAACCTCCTCCGTCTCTATCTCCGCTTACCACCGCTGGGTATCACGTGAGCTCCGGTGGATACATGCGTGGAGCTGTGTATCGCGAGCCAAATCAGCCTCTAACCATCGAAGAGTTTCACATTCCCCAACCCAATGTGAATAAGATTCTCATCAAAATCAAAGGTTACATTTCATATATATATATATATATCCTCATGATTTTAATTCGTTTCGGAATTAAAAAAAAAAGGTTTTTAATTTGTATTCTTTTTGAATTCGTATGTGGCAGCTTGTGGAGTATGCCACTTTGATCTTCATGTGATGAAAGGAGAGATACCATTCTCTAGTCCTCGTGTTATTGGTCATGAGATTACTGGTGAAGTTGTTGAACATGGTCCACTAACTGATCACAAGATCATCAAAAGGTTCCTTTAAACATTTTAATTGGAATCATATTGTTCTTATTACAATCATGAATGTCTCAAATCTGTTGTTTCAGATTTCCAGTTTGTTCTCGTGTAGTTGGAGCTTTCATTATGCCGTGTGGAACCTGTTATTATTGTGCCAAGGTGATGAGGAAAGAGTAGTGCTTTCATTGGTTTCACAAATTTAAAGTTCTTAGCTGATACTTTTTTACTCGGACACAGAGCCACGATGATCTATGTGAAGACTTCTTTGCTTATAACAGAGCCAAATGAACTCTTTACGATGGTGAAACTCGTCTGTTTCTGCGCCATGATGGTAGTCACTAATTAAAACTTTTAGATGCATCTGTTTCTAAAAACGGAACTTTTAGATGCATCTGTTTTTATATCTTTTCTTTCTCAGAGAAGCTGATAGCTTCTTCTTGTTGTAGTCATTTGCAGCAATGGCTTCCTCACTCTCTGCATTACCTATCGCTGATAAAAAATTTCGCAAAAGGTGTTCACACTCTTCGTCTTCTCATTTCGCTCTAAGAGCAAGAGCCGCTGCGAAAGAAGTCCACTTCAACCGTGATGGCTCTGTCACCAAGAATTTTCAGGTTTTCTTTCCTTTTTGTGAGTGATTCGTTGATAAATTTGCTTTTCTTATGGAGAAAAATGGTGGTGAAGTTTGGTGCAGGCAGGTGCAGATATGGTAGCTAAGCTATTAGGCGTTACATTGGGTCCAAAGGGCCGAAAAGTAGTGTTGCAGAACAAGTATGGACCTCCTAAGATTGTCAATGACGGTAAAACTGTTCTCAAAGAGGTTACTCATTTATGATTGTCATAATTTTTGGTAGTCACTAATTAAAACAAAAACCAATGCTAAAGCATGTATTTGTCTCAGTTGTTGCAGGGGAGTCGAATATGGAGATCACTGGAAATCCATGCTTTACTACCAACCTCAAGCATAGGACATATGAGCTGGTAGAGAAAGGAGTTTAGATTTGGTTATTGAATCATTTTTATGGTTTAAACAACAACTATACAATTTAATATTTTTTTCCCTAAGGACTCTAAAATAGAGTACACCATTGGACTAGTTTTTCTTATTAGAATCCTTAACTCTTCAAACAAAAAAGTTTAAAAAAAAATAGTTTAAAAATGCTTAAGGACTCCAATGGTAGTAACACCATTGGAGATGCTCTAATATCGGCATCATCGCCACTAAAGCTCATTGTACTATCTTAAAATCATCTTGGTTTAATCTTTTTTCGGTCTAACTTCTTTCTCAGAACAAATTTTTCATTTTACATGAAGTTCCCATCATATTCAAAAACAGACAAATTATATCGAAGAAATTCCTGACCTCAAAATGTTTTTCGGAAATTGCCACAACAACCAACTGAAACGGATGAACAAAACAATGAACATAGTACTGATGTGCTTTCTTTTGAGATTAGTGAGATCTTAACCCATTGAATTCACCTTTCATGTTACTTGTCCTATCATAACATTATCCTCGTAATTTTGTAATGCTTAATCCATGCTTAGAAAACAAAGAATTAATAGCAAATTTCAAAGTTGATAAAGATGTATCACTTACATGAGTAATACTTATGAATCTCTCTTTAACTATTCCACTTTTGTCAACAAAACGAAACATTACTGCCATATGTTCTTTATAAGAAGCATCAGCAAACATCCACCAACAAACCGAATACTTTATGATCAATTTCTTCAATAATACTTTTGACTAGCACTTTCGCAAAACAATGCACAATATCTTTCAGAATCTTTGGAGAAGTCATGTGATTGTTTCCAAGAACATTTCCTAAAATAACCTTACTCACAGCTTCATTTTGCTCAGCAGTGTATTTCAAGCGTTCAACAAAGTTATCATTATTAGCAGTTTCGTTTTCTCTTCATGACCACGAAAAGATAACCCTTGTCTCAACAAAAATCTGGAAGCATCAATGGAAGCACTTAAAACCTGTTTCGATACTCATTCTTCGTAATATCATCTTTTTTATGCGAAGCATCCTTTATAAACGAGCTTTCTTTCATCAAGTTTTGACATTTCATTACTGCATTGTTGTGAAAACAATTAATTTTTCCTACATGATCTGAATTTTTTTTGGGTTTGCTCCAGCTAGAGAAACCATCAATGGTCCATGCATCATTCCTTCCACCTTTACCAGCATTATCCCTGAACAAGTAACAACATAGACAGAAAGCTGCATCTTTCTTCACACTATCTTCTAACCGATTATGATACTGATCAAACCAAACAAGATTAAACCGTCTCAATACGCCTCCTTTCAATGATTGTTTAAAAATATGGCCATGGGATTGACGAGGACCTCTGGTTAAATATTTTCAGATTACATCGTTTCTTTGATTTGCATGATATTCTGATATTCTTTTCCGATCAGCATGATCCCATGGTAGATTATCCAAATCATCTATTTCACTTTGAGATGATGACGATGGAATTTTTCTTTTCAAAGGTATCAAAATTTTCTCCATATGTCTGCAAATAAAAAAAATTACTATAATGACTTATAGTTGGATAATTAGATTCAATAAGAATAAACTAACTTACTATTTTTAATACGAACCTATCAGCTAAGAAGAGATTATAAAATCTTAAATTGATACCTTGTTGAAGTTTCGAAGAAGACGACATCAAGTTATCAAAGATAAAAAAAAAAGTTTCAATTCTAACTTAATGTATTTGGGCTTTAGGTTTGTAAATATTGAAGTTAAACCTATTTTTCAATTCAATTTTAGACATTATTTATTTACGTTGGGCTTCAATTAAAATTAATGGAAATGCTGCAGTTTATCTAGTAATCATTGGAATATCGTTTATAAGGGTGTCAAAACTAAATTTAATGGGTGACAAAAATAAATTAATGGAAAAATACATAGGGAATTTTTTTTCACAATTGATGGTGTTGCGATTGCCACCCCATTAACATAAAAGGTCTGCCTCTGCTTGGAGCAACTATTCTCCCATCTTTCTTTCTCCCAAACGGCATCTTTCTTCTCTTATCGGAAAATGAAGCTTTCTTGATCAAAGGATGATGACTACAACGAAGCTGGAGGTTTGTTTGTATGTGGATAAGAGTTTAGATTTGCAGTTGGGCGCCTGTTTTCAAATATTTAATTATTAATATCCAGTTTGCTTTTGGTTTAATGTGTATCTATTTATCTAACCGATTTGACTCGATCGTTACATTAGTTGCAACTAATTACTAACCAACAAATAATTTGGTTTTCCTTACAACTCAACAAAGATGTGATAGTCCATGTGTTATTGTTTTCAAAAATTATATTAGAGTTGGAAGTTCATGTCGCACTTTTTTAATTGGTTACTAGAAGGTCTGTACATTTTTTGAGTTTTGAGATTATTTTATATTTTGTTAATTGATAGTTTAGTTTTATTTAGAGAAATTGGACTCTATGACATGAAAAAAAGACTAATTCACCAAGTAACCAATATTCCTAACATTCATATACACACTGTTACATTTATATAATAATACTATATTGGTCCTTCTTTTCACCGGTGCAACCTGCAAAGAAACAAAAACTAAATTCATAATTATTGATTATGAAACATAAAACGTGGCTCTTTTTTGCTACACACACTCAAAAAATAATTTTCGTATTGCTAATATTTGAAAAAGTGAATAGATTCATCCAAAACAGATTTGAGCTATGAACGTCGGACTACGTTCTCGGAAAGTTTTGTGGAGAAGGAGACATGTTTAGGAGGCTTTGTCGGTGAAGGAAAGGAGAGGTTTCTCAGATTCCAAAGCGACAATAGCGAATATATCGGAACATATACATATCTAAATTTACAGGAATTCTCTATTGTATGTGGGAGAAGATGAAATTTTTTTGTTATTGTATTCTATTCTATTATATGCATATGGAATAGAAATGTAAACAATGTGTATTTTTCATATTTTGTTATGCGTTCTATTATGTTACTATACTATTTTATCATGTTCCATTCTATTTGATGGTTAATAAAGTGTTCTATTTTGTTTAAAGATATAGTTGGTAATTTTCTTAAATTCTAACTATCTTTATATGTTTTTAATTTGTAAAAATTGTATTATGATCTATATTGTATAGTTTAATATTACATAATATAATTTTATATTACATAATATTATGTACTTTTTAAATTTTGATATTTGGGTTTAGGGCTCATATTTGGGTTAGAGTTTAGTGATTAGAGATTAGAGTATGGTATTTAGAAGATGAAGTGGTGTGGTTGAGGTTAGCATTAATTTTTTACATGCAATCACATATATTTCATAATTTCACCAATATATACTATGTTATTTATTTTGATCCATACTATTTGGGTTTATAGATTTTATTTGAGTTTAGGGTTTATATTTGGGCTTAAGATTTATTGATTAGAGTTCAGGGTTAAATATTTAGGAGTTGTGGTGGGATTAGGGATAACTAGTGTGAGGATATTTTTAGTATTTAAAGATTGTAAGTGGATTTATAATTTATACTATTTCGGTGATATATAATAGAATATTGTGTCTATATATGTGGTTAGTAAATATATACGTAGATGACTCCACCAAGAGAAATACGTCACCTACTTCTCACTTGCAACTAGAAACCTTTTAAGAAGTAGGGTATAACCGGATAAAATGAGGCATAAATATGTGACATTTAATTATGTCAAAAGCAATGTTACTTAACTAATTTATCTTTCAAATATGGCTTTTACACAAATAAACCCTTTTATTTATAAGTCAAAAACTTGGTTTACAATTTTTGTTTGTTTTGCAATTTAAGTCTAACTAGATTTTGATCCGCGCAACCGCGCATGTTTTATTTTCAATTTTATATACATAAATACTTATTTTACATTATTAGTGATGTTAGTCATATATTTAATTGTTTAGAAAACTATTACAAACACAATAATTTTATAGTTTACATGTTAATAACAATTTTTTCAATAGTTTCTTATTATTATATTTATCTTATTTGATTTGGATTTGATTATTAAATAAACTAATATATGCATGAAAATCATGTTTAAAAATTATTTTATATTTAATTTATAATAAATTAGCAATTTCATTTTTATTTAGATAATATGGTATTGTATATATAAAAGTTTATATGTTAATTTTATACATGTGTTATATAGGTACTAATGATAACATGTTCTGTCAGCGTATTATACTTTTAACATTAATATTTTATATTTATGAAAATAAAATAGATTAATTTATCCATTTAATACAATTTACTATATTTTTTTAATATGATACATTATGATTTTATAAAAGATAGATAAAATGATGGAATTTTTATACAATAGATAACAAAATATATATTAATGTATAATTACATTCTTTACTAACTTGAAATTAGTAAAATATTTACATATTTTAAAAAAAATTAAGATCTTGTTAAATATTTTTAACATAATTTTGAATATATATTTATACTTAAAATAAAAATATATTAAAAGATATTATGAGTAAAATAGTTACAAATATTTTATTATTATAGATTTAATGAAATACATTTAATAAAAGTTTCTAGTGATGATTCATATTTGAAAAAATCACACATGAATCAAGGTCATAACTTCTGTTTTATATATAAGACTAGAGTTTAACCCGCACATTCTTACAGCTATTTTATTTATAAATGTTTAACTTTGCTATTAACATAAATATGTTAGATATGATATTTGTTTTACATCTTATATTAGTGTTATATATTGTGTAATTCCTTAATTTTATTGCTTAGGTTTCTTATTACATTTAATATATAGTGATTTATTTTATATATTATACTTTTTTATTAATTGTTATTATATTTTCGAATTTGTTCTGAAATAATCAAATAGTTGTTTTTGAAATATGATTTTTGAAAATATATAGTTGTCGAAGAAAATGTTTAACATATGTTAATAACCATATTTTTTGTATAAGATTATTACACAGTTAATCAAATTTAACCAGTTTTAATGGTAGATAATAATTTAATTAACTGAAAATATTTTCTAAAATAAGTAGGTTAATTTACCAATTTAATATAATTTTGTCCTATTTAATTTATATAAAACTTCAATTTTAATATAACAGAGACTATAAGAAAACTTATAAAAACAGAATATTTTTTATAATAAAAATTAATAACTATGAATTTAAAATAATAATAGATTATCAATTTCGAAATTATTTGATGCTTTATTTAACACAAAAGTTTAAAAAGTTTAGTAAGATTTTCTTAGATTCCTTCTTAATAGATTTTTTATAACTAAAAATAAATAAATTTATAATTAGAACTAATTTATTATAAATTTCTTATTTATTATTATGTCATATTATGTAACTAATAAAATGTACTTACTATGACTTTTTTTATAGTAGATAAAAAAGTGACTATATTTTAATATTAGAAGACTAGAGTTTAACCCGCACATTCTTGCAGCTATTTTATTTATAAATGTTTAACTTTGCTATTAACATAAATATTTTAGATATGATATTAGTCTTACTTCTTATATTAGTGTTATATAATGTGTAATTCCTTAATTTTATTGCTTAGGTTTATTACATTTAATATATAGTGATTTATTTTATATATTAACTTTTTTATCAATTATTATTATGTTTTCGAGTTTGTTCTGAAATAATCAAATAGTTTTTTTTTTTGAAATATGATTTTTGAAAATATATAGTTTTGGAAGAAAATGTTTAACATATGTTAATAACCTTATTTTTTGTATAAGATTATTACATATTTAACAAAATTTAACCACTTTTAATGGTAGATAATAATTTAACTAAATGAAAATATTTTCAAAAGTAAGTAAGTTAATTTACCAATTTAATATTATTTGTTTATATTTAATTTATATAAAACTTCAATTTTAATATAATAGAGACTATAACAAAATTTGTAAAAACAGTTATTGTTTATAATAAAAATTAATTAATATGAATTTAAAATAATAGATTATCAATTTCGAAATTATTTGATGCTTTATTTAATACAAAAGTTTAGTAAGATTTTTTTTTAGATTCTCTCTTAACAGATATCTTTAGTTAGATTTTTTTATAACTAAAAAAATAAATTTATAATTAGAACTAATTTATTATAATTTTTTTATTGATTATTATATCATATTATGTAACTAATAAAATGGACTTACTATGATTTTTGTATAGTAGATAAAAAAAGTAACACTAATTTAATAGATTAGAAGATTTGAGCATTTAACATGAAACTGTAAAACTTATTTGTATTGAGTACTAGTGGTATGTCGGCGCTACGCGCTAGTTTTTCTTACATTATTTAGTTATTCTGATATATAATTTAAATATATGGTTCTGTTGTTAATATACATTTTATGTTATTTTATAAATTTAAAAAAGTATTTCCTTGGTATCTAAGAAAATAAATTAACTATCAAAGACATGAATATTATTAATTTGATTATCTTGTTAGCGTACTTGATTTTATGATGATTGCAAAATTAATTAATTCTAATTATATGCATGATAAGTAGCACCGGTTTTTCTAACATCATTTAGTTATTTTGATACATAATTTAAATATATGGTTTGGTTGTTAATACACATTTTATGTTATTTCACAAAATTAAAACATATTTTCATGGTATCTTAGAAAATAAACTATTTATCGAAGACATGAAGATATATTAATCTGATTATCCTATAAATGTAATTGATTTTATGCTGATTGAAAAAAAATTATAATTATATGCATGATAATTATTAAATATTTACTTAAGAGTATTTCTTTTTACTTTTATATTAAAATATGTTACATTTGACAGAGTTTTAAATAATAAGATATGTTTTATACTTTAAAAGAAATACGCATGAATAGTCGATATCGACATTTCAAAATAGATTATTTTGTCAAACAAAATTTCTAATGAAGTCCAAACCAAAAAAATACCATTACAATATTATAACCACTTACTTAAGTGAACTATTATACTTCAATATCATCAAGAAAACTGCCTTAGAATCGATAGGAAAATATGAAACAGTGTTTGCTTATTTAAGTTGGCAAAACATAGTTTTTATAGAACAGAATAAGTGATCTAATATTAAAAATATCATGTATTCTACGTATACCATCGGCAGAACATATAGTTTTCACATAGACTCTTACTTTAATTTTGTACACATTAAAATTATGAAAATTAAGAGTTATTTTAATATTTTTGATCAACATAATTATGATACTTAGGGTCTGACTGGTTGAAACGCGGCGGTTGCGATTGCGGTTGCGGGAGTTTGCGGATGTGGGTGGTTGCGGTTTCTAGCGTTATTAGGCGATTTGTACGACTGGTACAGTGATTAAAAACTGGTGCGTTTGCGGGATATTTATGACTGGTTGATTATGAGATACTACAGCGGTTCAATAATAAATTTCCAATATTA